CCCCATTCCTGTTGCTTTCTGGGTCTGGTCAGGGGTGAGGGGAGTGTGTATAATGAGTAGGTTTATGCCTCCTCTGTGAAGGCCATGAAAGATCGACTGCAGGAGGCTCATTCTTAGTGGTGACCTCCAACTGAGCTTCCGCTGCCTCTGTCTCTGAATCTGAGTTCTTAGAAGTCCTCCGGGCTGGCTTTCAAGCTTTTACTGGGTGAAGATTCCCATCTGCAGGATGTTGTTGGTGGTGTGTTTGTTGAAATAATTGCTTCTGCAGAAGGTTTCCTCTGACAGAGGTAGTTGATGTGCTTTTTTGTGGACTACTCCACAGTATTAAACAAATAGGATACCAGTCTCCTTTGTTTAAGGATAGTTCCTGTAATCTATGGGAGCCGTCACCGAAGTTTGTTCCGTGGACTGTATCTCCTGGTTTAAAATTACTGATTGGCTTTTGCCCATCATGGCCCCTTTTCTGGGCTTTTTGATTTAATTCAACCTAGCCGCCCAAGTTTGGGAAAGTCGGGCTAAGCCTGATTTGAAGGCATCATTGGTGCTACTCCCATCGTCATATGCGGCTTTGTCCTATAGTTGGAGAAGAAATGTGCAAGCTTTGTTTCTAAAGACCCTGTAGTTTGCATTCTCATGTTATGTTTAAATAGCTAGATGACCCGCTCAGCCAGACCATTTGAGTACGGGTGGTACAGTGCCATGAGGATGTGACCCCCACTGTTTGTCTTCATAAAGGCCTGAAATCCCTCACAGTATACGAGGTCCCATTGCCTGATACAAGGATCTTAGGTGTACCATGCGTACTAAAGGATGGGTGGAGTTTTGCGATAGTGTTGTAAGAAATAGTGGAGCGCCATTTGGTGCACATCAATCCATTTTGAATGGCCATTGATGAGGATTAAGAATGTAGATCCCACAAATGACCCTGTGAAATCTGCGTGTACTCACATCCAGGGTCTCCCCGGTCATTCCCAAAGGGTGCAGCGAGGCTGCTGGTGGGTCTTTCTGGTCTTCCTGGCAAGGTTTGCACTGCTTGACTGGGCTTTTGAGATCCGTGTCTATGCCAGGCCACCAAACATAGCTCCTTGTGGGCATTTTTATTTTAAAAATTCCTGGGTGGCCAGGACTTGTGCAATAGCTTAAGTATTGATCACTGGCCTGGATGGGAGTCAACAGTCCTGGCTCCCCACAAGATAATGCCACCTTCTGTGCTCAGCTCCTGATATTTGAGATATAGGGTTTCAGCTCTTCCATAGGACATCCTTGTGGTCTACCATTTAAAAGGATAAGCTGAAGCTTCACCAATGTAGCGTTGTTTTTGGTCAAAGCTTGGATTTACTTCACAGATACTGGTAGAGTGTCCATGAAGTTCAAAGTCATGATGATTTCATTCATCTTCAGAGGTGAAGGTAGGTGGCTCAAGGCATCCACATTGGAACATTGTATAGGGAGACATATAGCCAAGGTGTATTCATAGGTACCTCTTGGCAGAGCCCAGTGTTGGATCTAAGCTAATGAAATGGGAGATTGCCCTGTCTTCCTGGAAAAGGTTTGTGATCAGTTACTATAGTGAAATGCCAAACCTAGGCAAGAACTTTTTCAGTGTCAATATCACGACCAAACCTTCTTTCTCAATCTGGGCATACTTCCATTCTGCGTCTGCAGTGGTTCATGATGCATATGTGATTGGATATTTGTCCCATCACCCCAAAGGTGCAATAATACTGCCCCATCCCATAGGGGGAAGGCATTGCAGGTTACAATGAGAGTTTTCAGAGAGTCATAATGAGCTAATATATATTTGTTGACAGTAATGGTTGTTTGACATTTATAAAGGCTTTCTCTTGTGGCACTTGCCACAACCATTCCTGAATGCTTTTAGCAGAGCATGCAGGGACACCAGCAGAATCAACAGGCTGGGAATGAATTTCCCATCTTATTTTATGAGACCTAGAAGAGACTCCAACTCTGTTGTGTTCCCTGGAGTCAGAGCCCCTTTTTATAGCCTCACCTTCTCTGACAGGATGTAGTAGGCCTGGTTAACTCTGTATCTGAGGTACATCACCTCGTTTACCTGGAAAACACATTTTCCTTTTTAGCCACATGCCAGGTGTAGAAAAATGCTGCAAAATCTCTTCCAACCTCACCAAGTGTTCTTTTGCAGCAGTTCTTAAAATTAAAAGCTAATGCAGATAGATCACCATTCTGGGCATCCCTTGGAGGAAGTTCTTCTTCACCCTTTGAAAGATGGTGCAAGATGCCCCCAAGAGGCTAGTCAGTGTACTCATACAGTCCCTTGAGTATTTATTGTGACATACTTCCTGGATGATGCCTCAAGCTCCAGTTGGAGGTAGGCATGGATCATTGCCAATTTGGAAAATGCATGATACCCCCAACCAGCCTGGCATACAAGTCTCTTATGTATGGCATAGGGTATCTGTCTAAGCAGGAAGCTCTGTTGACTGTCACCTTATAATCCCCACAGATACAGACTGAGTTGTCAGGTTTTAAAATTGGGTCTGAATGGCCCATTCAGCAAACAAGTTCCTATAGATGTTCCAATTCAGCCTCTGGTTTGACACATCAGGCATAGGAGACTGTCCATGCCTTGAAGTATTTAGGTCAGACCTTTAGATCTACATAGATCTTGGCCCTGGCACCTCTTATCCTTCCAA